GTGTGAACTTGTCTAACCAACTAGTGCAATGGAAGAGTTGTAGAAGACTTTGGAACCTCAATTAGTATACATTGACTTCGAAGACAAATTAACCGGAAGATTCGTAACCTGGCTTAGTCTTATCACTTTACGTCAATATTATACTCATTAGGTCGTTAACGCTTTGAAACGTTTAAATTTAATTAAAGAATTGAATATCCAATGAGCACACATTTTTCGCTCTTGACATTATTCAAGATTGATTGATAATCTATGAGGTTAATTTACGCTGTCGTGTTTTTTTTTCCTCTATAATAATGTATTTTATTTGTTAAATAATAATTTGTTTTAATAAATGATTGAATGAATAATCGATTTTTTAATTCGAAATCAGTAGGTACTCGGTATATTTTGTATAGTGAATCTCTGAACTGTACAAATTTTCGACTCAATAAGATTAACTTTGTATCCTACACGAAAAAATAAACAAAATAAGCTACAAAAATATACCTATCTAATAATTATATAGAAGAACACAAATATAAAATTTGGCATTTTATGAAAATTATTAATGCGGTAAAGTTTGGAAGGTGTGAAAGTCACATGACTAAAAATAATTATTAAATATCAAAACTATTTACTTCTACTTCTTCTGCGATCATTTCAGCTATCGTCAAACTGGTTTTAAAAAGACAAAACGTGTTCTTACTGCTAACGGATTTAATGTAAATCATATTAACATAACGGTTCGTGTAGATATATAACTATTAACTGTGATATTATGTCTAAAACATATGTGTTTTGATGATATGTTTTTAAATAATATTCGATTCATTACTGGTGGTAGGACCTCTTGTGAGTCCGCACGGGTAGGTACCACCACCCCGCCTATTTCTGCCGTGAAGCAGTAATGCGTTTCGGTTCGAAGGGTGGGGCAGCCGTTGTAACTATACTGAGACCTTAGAACTTATATCTCAAGGTGGGTGGCGCATTTACGTTGTAGATGTCTATGGGTTCCAGTAACCACTTAACACCAGGTGGGCTGTGAGCTCGTCCACACATCTAGGCAATAAAAAAAAAATATTACTCTAACATTACACCCTCTCTCTATATTGTGTATGTAACTTATAACCATATCCATATTTATACCTATATATTATAACTTATATCCATATTTAATATCATAACAATGTCAGAGACAAGAAAGAGGTATCGCAAAAAAAAAAANAGTAACCACTTAACACCAGGTGGGCTGTGAGCTCGTCCACACATCTAGGCAATAAAAAAAAAATATTACTCTAACATTACACCCTCTCTCTATATTGTGTATGTAACTTATAACCATATCCATATTTATACCTATATATTATAACTTATATCCATATTTAATATCATAACAATGTCAGAGACAAGAAAGAGGTATCGCAAAAAAAAAAATTCACAACCAAGTGTAACTTGAGCAAGCCATAAACTCATAATTACTTTAAATAAATGTGCTTCGAAATTTAGCGCAAGTGGGCGATTCAGTTTTAACAAATCAAATGTATTCATTACATTCGGATCGTAGACATAATTAAAACTATATTACTTTTAGAATTTAATCAATCTCGCGTTTGTTATTCCCATAATTTCAAAAACGTTTTCACGTTCACTAACGACTGATCGTAAATCTATTATAGTTATAGTGAACTTAGTACCTATACATACTTCGGAATAAATAAATAAAAAGATGTGTGGTGTCGTGGGACACCGGATAGGATCGAAGTTCCACATAAAAAAAAAAAAAAAGAATTACGAGTAAATAATCGCGCAGCTAAATATCGCTGTGCGGAAAACAAGGCCTTATTCCACGGACTTTTTCCTACGGTTTTTACTTTCACATTTTTTTCAGTTCGGTCGCGCAGCAAAATTCCTATCTCCTCCAAGCCTGCCGCAAGGAACTTCGTTCCAAAAGTCACCGAAAATGTTTCGATTTACATCAATAGTACGCAATAATCGCGCTTAATTTGGACAGATATTCATTTGAAATATGTATTTCAATACCGATGGAACAAATAACCTAAGGTAACAGGTAGGTTTGGAATACAAAAAAAAAAACGTCCTACACATACATGAAGTTACTTAGATACTCGTAGTGGGCAACAATCTACGTTTCACAAAAACTAGCGTTAATTTGGACAGATGTAAGCAGCGTATTCCGCAAGTTTACTTTCGTGATATACTGTGCTAATATAAACATGTAAAAAATACACTACGTATATGTAAGTATTCGGCTATTTAGATTATCCAATATTCTATAGAATGCGTAGTCAACTGGCAGTCTTTATAGATGATTATATTTACAAAAAAAAGAAACCGGTTAAATTGCCGCTTACGGGAAGTCCGTTCATTCTTAATCTAGGATATAAAATCTATATAGGTTTGTTTGTTTTCTTATTTGTATTCTGTGCGTTCGCGTTGTTGTTATTTCGGATTTTTTTCTGACATGGTACTATACTATTATATTAACGTAAAACAAGCGAGTGCGTAGCGTGCGAGTCTTGTCTTGTCTTGTCTTAACGGCCGTCTGGTGTAGTGGTAAGTGACATGGTCACTACACAGGGGGGTCGCGGGTTCGAATCCCGCCAAGGGAAGATATTTGTATGATAAATATAAATGTCTTTTCCAGGGTTATGGATGTCTATTAAATATATGTATGTGTATAATAAAAATCTTACATTTATATCTTACATTTATATATATGTAACACAAGTTCTTTACGAACTTATCACGGGACCAGTTAACGTGGCGTGATTATTAGTAAATATTTATTTATTTATTTATTGTCTGAATAATTTGAGTTTATTTGAAACAGTAACAGCTTAGCCATAAACTTATAAAATGTCACTTTCCTGGATCTATACTATAGAATCGTGGCCCACTGAGAAGATCCGGACAGAAACTCAGTGGGCTGAGTCTATGCGTATATGAAATGAGTCCACTCCAATGACACACGGGATTTTAAATATATAACTAATATATCATTAATTAACTTGATCCAATATAAAGAATATATAAATTGTTATTATGGTTTATACAAAATGATCGGATCAAACAAGATTTTTGACGTCACGCATTTCTTTCAAACTATTTCTAACCAGTTACTATGTTATATTAATTTGATTTACAAATGATGATAATTTGTTTTAATCTTCGATTCTATTAGAATTGTTAAGCAAGACATTCAACTCATAGTTTTATGGTTTACTTCGCCCATGGTCCCCAAATCGAGGTTTTCAAACACGCATTAGTAAACAGTGCAACAAAGTAAATAGAACGGGTTTCAGATGTTTACTTACGTGGAACTCGCTTAACACTTTGTTCATTAACATTAACTTCTAAGCGAGTCTCTGACATTTAAACAAAGTAAACTTCACACAGTTGTCGTCTGTCTAAAGAGTAGTAAAGAGAATTACAAAGAATAAATAAATAAGAAAAAGTTCAGTCAAGCATCTTGAATTATTCTAAAGGACAAAGGCTAAATTTCTTTTTTCAGTCCATGTTATCCAAAAGGGCAGACGAACACACTGATCACTTGTGTCAAAAGGATACGAAATCGTGCAAGCACATCATAAGCGTCATCGAAACTATTCTAGCCCATTCAAACCGAAGAAGAAAAAAGCAGACGCGTACAGAAAATAATATAAAAGTTTGAAAGAAATTCATCAAGTTGCTCGTTTGCACATCACTTTGCGTTAGGTATTACAATTGCAGCTTAAGCAATATTTGAAAGTAAATATTTGTGTATTTGTTTTTTTCCGTTCAATTTAATATAGGTTCGCACGTCGCTTTTTCGATTGAATTGATACTAAATAGGGATTTTATTAGTATGTCGGGGAAGGAGTCTGGTGTAATAAGATAAAAGTAGGTATTACAGATCAAGCGTTAGTAATTCTAACAAAACACAGCTATATCTCAGACAATATGCCTATCACAAACGTTGCCAGAGCAGGATAGAGGGTCTCACTAGTTTAGAAAAAATAACATTTTTCTTTTCTTTATTCGTAATTTCAAACCTATTTAAAGACAAAGTGAATTTAATTAGAAATAGTTAGTTATTTAAATCGCTGTAAACAATTTACAATTAAAATAAAAAGTATGTACCAAATATGTAAAGTTAACAATTTATTTCAGTTCCGTAAACACATTACACTGCTTTATTTAAATGAAGCTAATAGAAAATTTTGTGTCTATGTGAAATTTGCGAATCGATCGCAACGGAGCAAGCAATTTAATGTTTACCTATATAACATTAATTACACTACGAGTAGTTTTGGTAGGTTATATTGAAAACTTGTTTGATTCAGTTCCACCATCATGCCTATTTATGCTAAGAAATAGACACACGTTCGATTTTTTATGATAGAACATTCGTTAGATAATACAATTGTCTCAAGACTCCAACCAACCATATAATTTAAGGTGACCCGTGCACTTGTATCCAAAAAAAGAAGAAAATCCACGATCATTCAAAAGTTAAGAACAATATTTCTTTGGCTATCTATCTTGGCCAGTAGCCTAAGTACAAAATTAAATGATACTGTGAATTTATTGTAAATATTAAAAACAGTAAAAAAACAATATTTTAATAAAGAAGCACGAACCTTAGTGGAAGCGGGCCACCTATCATCAATTGTGATACAATTCTATTCTGCATTACAATGTTTTGCAGTTGGTGTGGTGGAAAGATTTTTTTTTTTTATTGCTTAGATGAGTGGACGAGCTCACAGCCCACCTGGTGTTAAGTGGTTACTGAAGCCCATAGACATCTACAGCGTAAATGCGCCACCCACCTTGAGACATAAGTTCTAAGGTGTCAGGTATAGTTACAGCAGCTGCCCCACCCTTCAAACCGAAACGCATTACTGCTTCACGGCAGAAATAAGCAGGATGGTGGTACCTACCCGCGCCGACTCACAAGAGGTCCTACCACCAGTAATTAAAGTAGTAAGATTACAAGAAAATCAAAAGTCTGTACTTACCAGGTGTAAATTTGACGCCAAACCAAACGGACATTGGCATGATACCGTGGTGAATGACGTGCAGCTTTGACACGTGATCAAACTTCTTGCGCATCACGAAGAAGAACTAGAGAATACAACAAGACAAAAATTAATTTTAATTAACTAACATCGTAAATTTTTTTCGATTTTTTGATCCTTTTTTTTCGTCGAAAAATATTTTGCGCAAATCTATTATTTTACATTTCGAATGTAATGACGATTATAAAGTTTTTATTACCATAAAATTTAACAATGGTTTTTGTATTGTAACCGGCATGTTTGCATTTTTATTTTAGTAGGTAAGTGATTAAAAAAAAAAAACCAGTGGATTTCTCATTAGAATATTCAACAAGGAAGTAAACGAATTATTCACATATATAACTATTGGTATGTTAATAACTCTAGGCCACCGTGCCACGTTCGTTGCGGAAACGCTCGGCCCTAATGACGGCTGTCTACCTTGACAGTGAGAAGAGGCAAATAAGCGAAAACTTCATCATCATCATTATCCTGCCCTTCTCCCAGTTACCTGGGGTCGGCGCAACATGTTTTCTCCTTCCATACTCTTCTATCATACACCATTTCTTCGCTCACTCCCCTCTTACCTATATCGTCTTCCACGCAATCCATCCATTTCTTCTTAGGTCTACCTCTTCCTCTATATCATTCCACATTCATAGTTAACACTCTCTTACCAACCTCATTTTCTTTTCGTCTCATCACATGTCCATACCATCCCAAACGCGCACTTCTCAGCTTCTCTATCACAGTTGCCAATTTCAGGCTTCCTCTAACATATTCATTCAAATAAGCTAAAACCTCATAGGGCATAATACCAGAGACCCTGAATAACGGCGACTATGCCCTTACGAGGTTGTTACAGCTGCAAATAGGCAAAAGAGCTGAAGGTTCCTCTAATCTTAACTGGCAAATAGACTTCGCAATGCTGTCACACTCGCATTCTCCATTATGCCATCTTTGACAGCGTTATTCTGCATGTCCGGGCCCTACTACACGAAACACATTATGGATTCGTAAAAACAATAGCCAGGAAGGTGATATTCATCCGTACCGACTCTTAATACGGACTCACTGACTAATAAACCATAGCTATTTTAGTAGTACTGTTTGGTTTGTTTTATCATACAAGAATTCGTTTTCGGGAATTAAATAGTTAAATATATGCACAAAGTTACAATGATGATGTTTAAAGACGTAATTTCATCACATTTCGGATTAGGTAGCTTCACTTGTTTGGCAACACATTTTTTTTAGTGATGACATAATGAAAATAAATATGAATTGGAGTTCACACTGTACCTACTTGTCGTGAACATAATATTTTAATGACCAAACACCAACAGGGATGTTTGTGTTACAATAACAGACGTGCTGTCGAGGAACAAGATATCAGTTCAATGAGATCGTGGAAAGGAAATATATAAAGCTTAGAGAGATGAACCAGCTCACGTTTTAATTGGTTTTAAATAGTTAATGAAACGCATTGACTTCATAACGTGAATGCAGCCATCCACCGTGACGCTTAGTCTGTGTCTCAATTGCTTAGTAATTACCCACATTACAATTTTCACGTGTTTTTTTATAACACAATTCTCCATCGTGGAAATAATTCGTAAGCATATGTTAAAAATGTATTTCATTTAAAAAGTTAGTACCTCCCTGCGGGATTCGAACACTGGCAATGTTTCATCGCTCGATACGAGCACACCAAGCGTCTTATCTTTTCGAGGAGTTCGCCAGGGGTGTATTCTGTCACCCATTCTATTTAATATATACGGCGAATACATCATGCGTAAGACCCTAGAAAACTGGGATGGAGGCATAACCATAGGTGGTGTCAGAGTGACGAACCTGCACTACGCAGATGACACCACTCTGCTTGCCACAACAGAAGCAGAGATGACAGAGCTTCTGAACAGGATGGAGCACATAGGGTTGGAGATGGAACTCGCCATCAACAGATCCAAAACTAAAATCATGGTCGTTGATCGCACAAAAAAGTTGGAGCTTAGTGGAACACTAAACCTTACGGTTGTTGACAACTTTATTTACCTAAGCTCCAACATTAACAATACTGGATCCAGGGAACCTGAAGTACGACGGCGTATTGGAATGGCAAAGGGAGCCATGACCCAGCTCGGTAAAATCTGGAAGGACCGTAACATTACCCAGAAAACAAAGATAAAACTGGTGCTCACTCTGGTCTTTTCCATTTTTCTATACGGAGCGGAGACCTGGACCCTTAAAGCGGCTGATCGCAAACGCGTGGATGCTTATGAGATGTGGTGTTGGGAAGAATTCTCCGGATACCTTGGACAGCGAAGAGAAGCAATCTGTCTATCATAGATCAACTGCAGATAAAGACTAGACTGTCCACACTCTGCCTTCGCCGCGCACTTGAGTACTTCGGTCATATTGCTCGGAAAACACCGGATAGCTTAGAAAAACTATTCGTGACAGAGAAGATCGAGGGAAAGAGACCGCGCGGGCGCAGTCCGACAAAGTGGTTCGACCAAATCTGCACCACACTAGAGATCCCATTCCACGACGCTCTCCATGCGGCCAATGATCGGAAGCGCTGGCGGGACATTACAAGGAGTAAAATCATGTCGAATTATAATAGTCACGACCCTCAGCAGTGAGGAAACGACGCGAGGAGGAGGAGGCTTTAAGCACAGACGTATATATTTAAAAGTTATAATTTTAATATTATAATAGTTTGAGTCGTCACAACGCCTTATTCCAATCATCGTGAGTGGAATAAGACGCCCGGTGCATTCGTATCCAGCGTGTTGGTGTTCGACTCCCGCATCAGGTACCAATTTTTCTGATGAAATACGCACATAAGAATTGTCCACGATAGACTATCACGGAGAAGGAATAACATGGTGTAATCGAAATCAAGACCGCAAAAAATTTAATTTGCGCAATTACTAGTGGTAGGGCGTCTTGTGAACCCGCATCCCATCACCATGCCTATTTCTGCCATGAAGCAGTAATGCGTTTCGGTTTTAAGGGTGGGTCAGCCGTTGTACTGGAATACTGAGACTTAGAACTGATCTCTCAAGCTGGATGGCGGCATTTACGTTCTTGATGTCTATGGGCTCCAATGATTACTTAGGCTGGCCATGAGCTCATCCCAACTTAGCCCTACTTAGCAATAAAATAATAATAGTAAAAATAATAATATTGAAATATTTCAACATGAGTGCATGTTTCGAAAATATTAGGGAGATATATGAAAATGTCCATTATAAATTTACAATATATTTTTAGCCTCCTTCGCTTTTATGAACAATTTTAACAGGAAGTATGTAATAAAAGCAGCCTTGTTATATTAATATACAGCCTTTATGTACTTTAAAAACGCAAGCTTTAAATGTACTTGCTTAAATTTAAATAAACACATTATTATTTCTCTGTATTTTCTAAGTATTATTTAAAGCAAAATACCTTTTTCTCTATGAAATGCAAGTGTCCACAAAACAGATGGTGCAGCATAGTGTATATATAGTGTCTAGGAATGTACCGATCAAAGAGACCTCCCGTACAAGACTGACAATGAAAACTATAAATATGGGGTCGAAAGCAACCGTTCTCCAACACGATGATTATGAAGATGGACAGGGCTAATATTAGGTATTTACCTTTGATGTTTTCATTTAGTATATAAAAAAGTTAAGGACAATTTTATAAACAAATAGAAAATCTTTTGATCAAAGTATACACCCATGGCATCGACGCATCTCTGCCAGCGCAGCGATAATATTTCAATGCCCTTCTTGAAGAAGGCAGATGTACGGGAGCCAAGAAATCCTTCAAAGGCATTTTATATTGCCTCGCTGGTATTGAATTTTATTCCTGCCAAGAAATTGTTCAAACTTTGTACTAATGATTGATGCTAATGTTGAAAGCTATTGCTGACTTAGTGGTTGATTGTGGATTGTCATTTTCCATATCGCCTCTAATTTGTCGTTGTTGACATTAGTTTGCGAGCAAATATATGTTCACTCCGTACACGTCATTAATATTATAAACCGTTTGTGTGGGCGGCATTGCTACTGCGACGGAGCTCGCAGTCCATAATGCCTACTTATTTTTATTGTATTGATGAAAATGATACAAAAAATAACACCCTACTCAATAAACAAATGACAGAATTGAAAAGAAAATTCCATGTTAATTAAATAAAATTAATTTAAATTTAAAATTTATTCCCAGCTATACCTACATAAATTACGTTGGCCACTATTGTAAAACAGCAACTTCATAGGTAAAGACCTATTATAAAAATAATAATTCTAATGAGTTGTTCGATTATGTTCGAGCTCTAACGACTATGTGTATTCAATTTACGTTTAAATAGTTAAGTACATAAGTACACAATTGCTGGTTGTGAATGATTCCCTTACGCCCTGTTTACTAGTAAACTCAACGAAATCGATAAGAGACAGTCAATGTCGACCTTATTCTGCCATCTTGATAGTTATAGTTATTGTCCAGTCATTTAAATATCAAGGAGGTCTTAATTCAAAGGCGTTAAACAGTCGTTTGTATTGCTAATGCGTACACGCTGTAAATATAAAATAACCGTGTAAGTGATCTGTGGTACTACGTAATAAAAACAAAATTGGATGGTTCAACATCAACAAAAAAATAAAACTCACCGTGTCAAAGAACTCTGTAAACTTCGAGAAGTAATACCACCAACAGCCGTTGACGGTCTGCAAAAAAGTTATAATAAAAATTTGAGATATCAATAACAGGCAACACATACTTTTTGTATTAAAAAAAACTTCCTTTATTTTATTATCAATTAAAATACTGATTGATCTGTGTTAATTAATTTAAAGGCTATAAATCAACGCTTCCACGTGCCACGATGTGCCTTTATCTTTAAATTAGACTTATTCACAAATAATATTGCTAATGAAATTTTTAAGCAGAACTTCATTTCATATTTATTTAGAAGTAAAGAAACAAAAGTAGTAAAAAATATTCACATACAATTCGCGGCTTTCAACTTGAAATTATTTTACGATACATTATTATTCAGTATTTAGAAATAAACATAAATCCCTGAGACATAAGGTCGACGGCTTAGATTACAAATGATTACTTTGCAGCAGTAATTTGCAAATTTTTTAATTATGGTAGTTTAATATTATTATTATATGATGTTAAGGAGTAAAGTCGTGGAAATCGTTCTTGATACGTGTTATTTTTAAAAATTAACCTGTCCCTAAGAATTGAATCTGCATTTATGTTGCCAACTTGTAACGTACTCGATATTAGTATATTACCCATTGGCCCGCGGGCTACGGCCGCTTCAATGCTTATAAAATTGATAATTTTTCTATCAACAGACAGTTGATTGGCAGTGCTTCTGACATTTCAATGAACATTTGCAGTTTAGAATATATTTCACGCTAGACGTGACCTACGCTTAAAAAATTCATAAATAATGAAATACATACATACACATAGTATGCTTTTTATGAATAACTAACTTTTGCCCGCGAATTCGTCCGCGTGGAATAGTTCACAAATAATGCTTTATTTTAGAACAAATTTGATTAGCATAAAAAACGTTATAGTGAGCCAACAATAACATAGAGACATATGCTGACGCGGACTTTTTTTTTGGTTCTTCTAAAGGGGAACAATTCTGTCATACATTATTTTAGCGAAACTTTAACCGTTTCTGCAGCACACGCAGCGGAAGTTCTCAAAAAGAAAAAAAAAACGATATTGGAGTATTCTTTATTGGTGCTCCGCTTGTATTGGTCTTAGCGTGATGTTATATAGCCTAAAGCCTTTCTCAATAAATGGGCTATCTAACAGTGAAAGATTTTTTCAAATTGGACTAGTAGTTCTTGAGATTAACGCGTTCAAACAAACAAACTCTTCAGCTTTATAATATTAGTATAGATTTCTTGTGTCACTCTCTGGTTTATAAGCGACCAGTCGATTTGTAAATTCGTTGGTACGTAAAATCACAAACCAACAATAAACTGTGGTATTTTATGTATTCTACGTATTAATGCCTGTAATTTTGTGCGAAATTTGATCCAAATACTTTCAACCGGTTGAGTAACAAACATAAAAATGTACACATTTTTAAATAGCATTATTAATAATTAGAATTTATAGCTTACCCGTAATGTTTCTGGAGTGTTTGAATAGTCTACTGGTTGACATCGGAAACTATACGTCGTGAACCACCCACTGACTATACTCTATAAAATATAATTCCTTATTAGTAAGCACAGCACGGTAACGCATATAAAGGTAAATGCATATTGTAATGCTTATTATCACAATATGTTTACTTAATGTATTCATTCCTGGTGGTAGGACCTCTTGTGAGTCCGCGCGGGTAGGTACCACCACCCTGCTTATTTCTGCCGTGAAGCAGTAATGCGTTTCGGTTTGAAGGGTGGGGCAGCCGTTGTAAATATTTGAGACCTTAGATATATTAGATATTTCAAGGTGGGTGGCGCATTTATGTCGTAGTCTATGGACTCCAGTAAACAATTAACACCGGGTGGGCTGTGAGCTTTGTCCAACCATCGAAGCAATAAAAAAAAATTAAAAAAAATATGAAGCTGCGAAACCCATTCAAGTTCATTGTTATTTTAAAAAGAACTATTACTATACATGAACTATAAAAGCTATTTACATTAAATGGGAATAAAAAACAGTTACTACTCGATGCAAACAAGTTCGATGAAGAAGGCTACATTTCGAAATGGTGCATCTCACTGTTGCAATTTTTACTCAGTAAATGTCGAATCAATAAACATTATTATGAGGTAAAAATATTAAAAAATAGCTTGAATCACCTCATAAAAGAGCCAACAGCTGAATATAACTTGGAACAAGTTATACCAAATGAGAACTTGCTTCAATTCGAATGGTTTCCTATTTTCCATTAGCTTCGGTCCAAGTACCTGTCAGAAAACAACTCATGAATCATTCAAAAATATGCGAATTTAATGTAATAGCAATTAAAATGGGTCATTCTTTAAAATCACGGCCTTAATTATTGTTCGCGTTTGAAACGCAATAACATATTAACAATAGCTTTAACTTCCAGTGGAAACATTCATAATGACAGTTAATTTGCCTTTGGCATGGTTGAAATTATTAATAATTAAATTAATTTTTAGTACTTTGATTGAAATTACTTTAGATGACTTACTTTGACGATGAAGACGTATGTAAGACATATCGCCAAGGTGGGGAAGGGTGAGGACATGAGGAACCAATCTTTGACTCTTTGATCGCTCTTGTTATCCATCAGGTCATGGTAGCCCGCCACAAGCCTACTCAGCGCCTCCATTTTCACTGCAACAACCAATTTTTTCACATGAAATACATATTTTCGAGCAGTGTGTGTTGACTCTGGGCAATGCCGGTGCCGAATGCGTGAACGATTGTTGGTGAAAGAACTCGAACCGTTTTACAACTGAACGTCAAGTTTAGCGAATGTCAGGGTAAACTGGCCGTGATCCGAATGAGACACGTTACATCCACTCGGACGGGACAATCGTTTCGGTGGTTTTCTACCATATTATACACACACATTACGTTTTGGAGGTCACAACGGAAAGTTTATTGCATGTTGAGAAAACAATAAATATTTGAATCTATTTTATGGCTCACATGTTACGAAACTATTTGGTACACGTTCAAAAATTACAGTAGAACAAATCGTTAAATGATATCCCTGGAAACAACATATTCGTTTTTTCCTCTCAGAATGATGTGGAAATTCATAAAAAAAGATCTATTTGAATAAATAATAGTTTCGGTATCGTATACTTGCTTGATTTGTTTAAGTCTCAATCCAAAAGTCACTTTGAATAATAAATTTGATTTGAATACTCAATATCTAAAAAAATAGTATATCAAAGTATTTGTTATAATTTCATAATTTATGTAGTATGTACAAATGTATATGTGGCAGTAGATTATGGTTCAGTACGTTCGGCCTTAAAATGGATGGCCTTCATATTCACAAGGCTACTTGAAAATATATTTTATTTATAAAGATTTTTTTTAGAATTCCTTTTTGTATTCCCTTACGTTTATCGCAATTACAATTACTTTGATGGTTTACTCAAACGCGTTTTTATTTTATTATTATTTTATTTTATTTTGTACCTTATATGTATATCTAACACCTGGGATTCTCTCACCAAGAGGATGAAAATCCAAGTAAACAAATTGCCAAGCCTCTACTTATTTCTGTGTGTAAAGCAAAACAAATGTAAGATTATATTATAGAAAATTAGACGCTAGTTAAAACATATATAAATATCAGCATAAACACTTTGGTCGTCTAATTATGTATAACGTATTCAAATTTTCTGAAATTATAGTATTAAATTAGAATTATAAACGAAAGATTAAACTGTACAAATTGTTTTATCTTTAGTTAAAATAAATGTGAATTACTTTATCGTTCTCAAAAATATACCTAATTAAAATGTAAAAAATGCTATAAATGTTGATCATGATTATCACGGATTCATTCATTTTGTCCTTAATATAATTATTTCTGTTTTGTTTATATAATCCTTTCATAGCTGTAAACGTCAGAGATAAGGTGAACTGGTAATAATAAGTGAGCCTACAACATTAAGGTATACTTCCCTTTGTAATCCTTTTTTAATACCATAAGCCCGCGGTTTCGACGTTGTCTACTTATTAAAATAATTAATTTATTTTATCTAAAAATTAGCAAAATACCGTAAACCGCTTCTCACCAAGCGAGTCATGAGCTATTTATTACACTCGACTAAAAACATATGGTAGATACACAATTTTCATGAGAAATTGGTACCTACCCCAAGACAAAAAACGCAAATTCGGATGGCATCAACAGACAGCACTGGCCCAACGCACGAATGGTGCTGAGCCATAATTAAGAAGAAAAAGAAGAATAAGAACAAACAGCATCTATCAGACTACGTAGGTGAGACTTCCAAAGAACAATTTCAAGAATTATTTTTAGTTTAGTAAACCCATTTCAAATAAGCAAGGGGATTGCCCTTACTTATCAATCAGATCCAGAAAATTCTATAGTAAATGACGAGTACACATCACACTAAAAAGTAAGAGTTTAATGGATAAAAGAAATCTTCATTCATAGAGTGTATTCATGTAATAAAAATGTCACTACAAACGTCACCGACCGACCTTAACATTCGGACAAAGTAAACAGACCCAAAAGCATCTGTAACAAATGTCAATATAAAATGCAAAAAGAGCGCGTAACATTATGGATAAATAAATAAACATCAAAAATCCCGTTCACACCAATCACACAAGGCTAATCGCTCGTACGTGAATGTTTTAATAATAAATATTTAGTTCCTTTGATTTTGTTTTCAATGTCAATATTGAAATATTTCTACTCAACAATTGAAAACAGTTGAAATACACAATAGCCTAATGGATAAACTAATTAACGATGATTATTCTAAGAATGTGCATTCATCATTAATTTTAGATGCAATAAGCGGTGTCAATTTTTTTTATTAATTATTCGTTGCATTGTGTAACTCTGCCAGATGTAGTCTCTTGCAACTACGACAGAATTTGAAATAGTGATCCGGGTTTCAAACCGGGTAAATGTCAGATCATCGCGCGAACCAAATGATTGAAAGTGGTCAGTGTCGAAGGCCGCGAGAAGCATAACCGCACTTCTGCCTGTTGTAAAACAATTACCATACAATTGAGACAACGACCTAGAGTCAAGCTACGTAGTGGAATTCTGGTTGGGATGCCCAATGGCTTCGGTAAGCGGTGTGTAAAGGGTCGTTTAGATGTCGGGTATTTTTTTAAGTTTAGCAAACAGAACGGTGAGAACAATCGAACTTTCTATCTGTTATTTTGGTCATAAAGTAAATTAAAGAAGTCCTATAATCCGATATGAACATTTCAACTTAATATCTAACGTAGACAGACATATAATTTGTACTGAAACTGCTTAAAACTAGTTATGAGTGAGAAACACACCGTTAAAAATATTGTTGATAGTTCTTCCTATCTATTAATAATATATATAATACTTAACCTTCAAGATTCAACTTTTGTTGTGTATGTTGTTTTATTAATACTAGTGGTCCCGCAGTAGATATGTATCGTAATTAATTGAAATATAAATTTGAACATGTTTATGGTTCTATTCTATTTAAAGATCGACAATATTAACCTATTCTCAATTTGACCACAGACCTTAAGCAATAACAAAAGTTTGACAATAAACAAAGAATATATATATTATGTGTGTGGGTCAAATACATGGTAGTGTGTGTAATGTTTTATTTATTTATTTAATGTACATATTTTTAATGCATAATTTTTAAAAAAATATTAGCAATCTGCACTCCTTCTCTATATTCTCTATAAGTGTGGAAAATTTCATACTCCTCTGTGTGTGCAATTTTCGTAAAAAGGAGTACAAAGTTTTTGCTTCACGTCATAGTATATAGATTTACAATCAATAGCCTTTAAGATTCATTTTTTTAGCTAAACTTTTCTATGCTCTGTATTTTAAACGATGAGTTGGCGGTGATCAAATCCAGCCGGCAGGTTTTTTTTTCTAAGGAAATACGTACTTAGCACGTGTTCAAGAATGACTTCTGCAATGTAAGAAAACTGGTGGCAGAGAAAGATTAGTACCAAGCTTCTGATTATTTCGGCAGTCATGCAAAACAATTCAACTTGAGAGTGGATTGTAGCATTCACGTTATGATATATATGGACTTCCGTAATCACTTCGCACCAGGTGATTAGTAGATAGTGAGCATGTTCACCCATCAATACAATAGTAAAATTTCATTTAAAAAATAACGGCGAACTATATTAGAAATGTCTTTTTTCCTGCCTAATTTGACCTAAAACCTAATGGAAATAACCACAGCTAATCATTAATGTTTCTGACATTAGTTTACAGAAACCAGAAATCGATAATTTTGTAAGTACAAACACTGAATGGAACAAGAAATAATAATTCTTGATTTGTGGGACATTAAGTCCGATTTTTATTATTTCAACATTCCAAATTATAATTGATGCTATTGTATTATTGAGTTTTAAACGATATGCTTAGAATAAGATTTGCTTTGCGGAAGTTTAGTGAACAAAAACGAAAATCATAATTCATAGCAGCAATTTCATTTAACATCAAACATGTCGAGAATTTGGCTACCCAAGCAAGATAAATCAACAGATGCTATTAAATTAATTTAATTAATTCCAACATTTTCTCAGTTCACTTTACATAATGTCAAATCAATGATTATTTTCCTAAGACGAACATAACAGCTAACGATCATAACAAGATATATACATATAATAATATGCATGTTGTTATTTACTGTTATAAATGCATAGCATTCATTTAATGGACTGACCATTTTTAAAAAAATAGTTGGAAAATAATAATGAAATACTTTTTGTTTTTTACATGTTTCATGTATTTGTATTAGTTTATGAGGGCTTTATGGTAGAATAATTTAGATTGTCAGATTAAATAATGCTCCGAAACCTATTAATTAAAAATGCTGAATTCATTGCTATTTACCGGTAGCTATAAACTTGTTTCGTTTTTCCTTTGGGCTCATTAAGTCGAATTAAATGTTTTCAATCGCAAATTTTGTAATAAATATATAAATTATCGTATGTTAAAAAATGAAAGTATAATTGAAAATATAATAATCACATATTCTTTAGTGTTCAAAATTCGGAAGAGGGTTATCCGTGCGATTTGTATCGTTTATAAGTGGAAATTCTTCAGATATAAATTAAAATTGTAATTTCTACCTCCTAATCCTGTTTGAAAATTTAGTGCGATGTGAATGTGCCATAAAATAAAATATTAACGAATTCTTCAAGGTTTCTGATGAGCACAATATAAATACAATCTACTAGGTATAAGCATAGCGTTGCTTTGACGGCGATGGTCTATGATGTAAGATAAATAACTCTTTTGGCGGGTTTGTCACAAAACCCAAAAAAAAATTATTTAATCTCTAAGCCTTTAGAAAACTATCAAGGAACTTTTGTGCTGTAAATTATTTGAGTATACATAATAATATGATAAAATGAGTGCATCAGAATGGCCTTGAGCGGGGTCAGTGGTGGGGTATCGTAAGATGCATCAAATCTGCCCCTTCCAGGCATGAGCGTGCTTACCGTAGGACAGAGGTCGGTAACCTTTTGAGTCGCAAGAGCCAAAAATTACAATTTACAAAATTTGAAAAGAACCACAAAAGTTTTTTCTTGCGAACAATAAATAGCACTTGCAAAATTTTTTTTTAATAATTACAACTAAT